CCCAGCACCCTGTAACCTGGCTGCGATGGGGGGGCACATTTATCAGGGCTGCTGGCATAAGCTCAGCTTTGAGGTAACCCCAGCACCCTGTAACCTGGCAGCCATTGGGGGAGACATTTATCATGGGTCCTGGTATGAGCTCAGCTTTGAGGTAACCCCAGCACCCTGTGACCTGGCAGTTATTGGGGGCCACATTTATCATTGCTCCTGGTATGAGCTCAGCTTTGATATAACCTCAGCACCCTCTGACCTGGCAGCCATTGGGGCCACATTTATCATGGCTCCTGCTATGAGCTCAGCTTTGAGGTAACCCCAACACCCTGCGACCCAACAGTCATTGGGGGCTACATTTATCAAGTCTCCTGGCATGAGATCAGCTTTGAGGTAACCCCAGCACCCTGTGAACCGGCAGGCATTGGGGGCCACATTTATTATGGCTCCTGGTATGAGCTAAGCTCTGAGAAAAACCCAGCACCCTGTGACATGGCAGCCATTGTAGACCACATATATCATGGCTCCTAGTATGAGTTCAGCTTTGAGATAACCCTAGCAGCCTGTGAGCTGGCAGCCATTGGAGACCACATATATCATGGCTCCTAGTATGAGCTCAGCTTTGAGGTAACCCCCAAGACTCTGTGACCTGGCAGCCAGTGGGACCACATTTATCATGGCTCCTGGTATGTACTTTCTGCTTTGAGGTAACCCCAGCACCCGTGACCTGGCAACCAGTGGGGGCCACATTTATCATGGCTCCTGGTATGATGGAGCTCAGCTTTGAGGTAACCCCAGCACCCTGTGACCTGGCAGTTATTGGGGGCACATTTATCATGGCTCCTGGTATGAGCTCAGCTTTGAGGTAACCCCAGCACTTTGTGACCTGGCAGTTATTGGGGGCCACATTTATCATGGCTTCTGGTATGATAGAGCTCAGCTTTGAGGTAACCCCAGCACCCTGTGACCTGGCAGTAATTGGGGCCACAATTATATGGCTCCTGGTATGAGCTCAGCTGTGAAGTAACCATAGCACCCTGTGACCTGGCCGCCATTGGGGGCCACAAAAATCATGGATTCTGGTATGATGGAGCTCAGCTTTGAAGTAACCCCAGCACCCTGTGACCTGGCCGCCATCGGAGGCCACATTTATCATTAATTCTGGTATGAGGGAGCTCAGCTTAGAGGTAACCCCAGCACCCTGTAACCTGGCCGCGATGGGGGGGCACATTTATCAGGGCTGCTGGCATAAGCTCAGCTTTGAGGTAACCCCAGCACCCTGTAACCTGGCAGCCATTGGGGGAGACATTTATCATGGGTCCTGGTATGAGCTCAGCTTTGAGGTAACCCCAGCACCCTGTGGCCTGGCAGTTATTGGGGGTCACATTTATCATTGCTCCTGGTATGAGCTCAGCTTTGAGATAACCCCAGCACCCTGTGACATGGCAGTTATTGAGGGTCATATTTATCAAGGCTCCTGGTATGATGGAGCTCAGCTTTGAGGTAACCCCAGCACCCTGTGACCTGGCAGTTATTGGGGGCTACATTTATCATGGCTCCTACTATGAGCTCAGCTTCGAGGTAACCCCAGCACCCTGTGACCTGGCAGTTATTGGGGGCCACATTTATCATTGCTCCTTTGAGGTAACCCCAGCACCCTGTGACCTGGCAGTTATTAGGGGCCACATTTCTTATGGCTCCTGGTATGAGCTCAGCTTTGAGGTAACCCCAGCACCCTGTGACCTGGCAGTTATTGGGGGTCACATTTATCATGGCTCCTGGTATGAGCTCAGCTTTGAGGTAACCCCAGCACCCGGTGACCTGGCAGTTATTGGGGGCCACATTTATCATGGCTCCTGGTATGATGCAGCATAGCTTTGAGGTAACCCCAGCACTCGGTGACCTGGCAGTTATTGGGGGCCACATTTATCATGGCTCCTGGTATGATGGAGTTTAGCTTTGACGTAACCCGAGCGCCCTGTGACCTGGCAGTTATTGGGGCTACACTTATCATGGATCCTGGTATGATGGAGCTCAACTTTGAGGTAACCCAGTGCCCTGGCAGTTATTAGGGGCCAGATTTTTCATGGCTCCTGGTATGAGCTCAACTTTGAGGTAACCCAGTGCCCTGGCAGTTATTAGGGGCCACATTTATCATGGCTCCTGGTATGAGCTCAGCTTTGAGGTAACCCCAGCACCCTGTGACCTGGCAGTTCTTGGGGGCCACATTTTTCATGGCTCCTGGTATGAGCTCAGCTTTGAGGTAACCCCAGCACCCTGTGACCTGGCAGTTATTGGGGGCCACATTTATCATGGCTCCAGGTATGAGCTCAGCTTTGAGGTAACGCCAGCACCCTGTGACCTGGCAGTTATTGGGGGCCACATTTATCATGGCTCCTGGTATGATGGAGCTCAGCTTTGAGGTAACCCCAGTGCCCTGTGACCTGGCAGTTGTTGGGGCCACATTTCTCATGGCTCCTGGTATGATGGGGCTCAGCTTTGAGGTAACCCCAGCACCCTGTGACCTGGCAGTTATTGGGGGCTAAAGTTATCATGGCTCCTGGTATGAGCTCAGTTTGAGGTAACCCCAGCACCCTGTGCCCTCGCAACCATAGGGGGCCACATTTATCATGGCTCCTGGTATGATGGAGCTCAGTTTTGAGGTAACCCCAGCACCATGTAACCTGGCCGCCATTGGGGACAACATTTATCATGGCTCCTGGTATGAGCTCAGCTTTGAGGTAACCCCGGCACCCTGTGACCTGGCAGGTTTGGGATCCACATTTATCATGGCTCCTGGTATGATGGAGCTCAGCTTTGAGGTAACCCCAGCACCCTGTGACCTGGCCGCCATTGGGGGCCACATTTATCATGGCTCCTGGTATGAGCTGAGCTTTAAGGTAACCCCAGCGCCCTGTGACCTGGCAGCAATTGGGGGACACATTTATCATGGCTCCTAGTATGAGCTCAGCTTTGAGGTAACCCCAGCACCCTGTGACCTGGCAGTTATTGGGGGCCACATTTATCATGGCTCCTGGTATGATGGAGCTCAGCTTTGAGGTAACCCCAGCACCCTGTGACCTGGCAGTTATTGGCGGCCACATTTATCATGGCTCCTGATATGAGCTCAGCTTTGAGGTAACCCTGGCATCCTGTGACCTGGCAGTTATTGGGAACCACATTTATCATGGCTCCTGGTATGATGGAGCTCAGCTTTGAGGTAACCCCAGCACCCGGTGACCTGGCCGCCATTGGGGGCCACATTTATCATGGCTCCTGGTATGAGCTGAGCTTTGAGGTAACCCCAGCACCCTGGGACCTGGCAGCAATTGGGGGACACATTTATCATGGCTCCTAGTATGAGCTCAGCTTTGAGGTAACCCCAGCACCCTGTGACCTGGCAGTTATTGGGGGCCACATTTATCATGGCTCCTGGTATGAGCTGAGCTTTGAGGTAACCCCAGCACCCTGTGACCTGGCAGCAATTGGGGGACACATTTATCATGGCTCCTAGTATGAGCTCAGCTTTGAGGTAACCCCAGCACCCTGTGACCTGGCAGTTATTGGGGGCCACATTTATCATGGCTCCTGGTATGATGGAGCTCAGCTTTGAGGTAACCCCAGCACCCTGTGACCTGGCAGTTATTGGGGGCCACATTTATCATGGCTCCTGGTATGATGGAGTTTAGCTTTGACGTAACCCGAGCGCCCTGTGACCTGGCAGTTATTGGGGCTACACTTATCATGGATCCAGGTATGATGGAGCTCAACTTTGAGGTAACCCAGTGCCCTGGCAGTTATTAGGGGCCACATTTTCCATGGCTCCTGGTATGAGCTCAGCTTTGAGGTAACCCCAGCACCCTGTGACCTGGCAGTTCTTGGGGGCCACATTTTTCATGGCTCCTGGTATGAGCTCAGCTTTGAGGTAACCCCAGCACCCTGTGACCTGGCAGTTATTGGGGGCCACATTTATCATGGCTCCAGGTATGAGCTCAGCTTTGAGGTAACGCCAGCACCCTGTGACCTGGCAGTTATTGGGGGCCACATTTATCATGGCTACTGGTATGATGGAGCTCAGCTTTGAGGTAACCCCAGTGCCCTGTGACCTGGCAGTTGTTGGGGGCCACATTTATCATGGCTCCTGGTATGATGGGGCTCAGCTTTGAGGTAACCCCAGCACCCTGTGACCTGGCAGTTATTGGGGGCAAAAGTTATCATGGCTCCTGGTATGAGCTCAGTTTGAGGTAACACCAGCACCCTGTGCCCTCGCCACCATAGGGGGCCACATTTATCATGGCTCCTGGTATGATGGAGCTCAGTTTTGAGGTAACCCCAGCACCATGTAACCTGGCCGCCATTGGAGACAACATTTATCATGGCTCCTGGTATGAGCTCAGCTTTGAGGTAACCCCGGCACCCTGTGACCTGGCAGTTATTGGGATCCACATTTATCATGGCTCCTGGTATGATGGAGCTCAGCTTTGAGGTAACCCCAGCACCCTGTGACCTGGCCGCCATTGGGGGCCACATTTATCATGGCTCCTGGTATGAGCTCAGTTTGAGGTAACCCCAGCACCCTGTGACCTGGCAGTTATTGGGGGCCACATTTATCATGGCTCCTGGTATGAGCTCAGTTTGAGGTAACCCCAGCACCCTGTGACCTGGCAGTTATTGGGGGCCACATTTATCATGGCTCCTGGTATGAGCTCAGTCTGAGGTAACCCCAGCACCCTGTGACCTGGCAGTTATTGGGGGCCACATTTATCATGGCTCCTGGTATGAGCTCAGTTTGAGGTAACCCCAGCACCCTGTGACCTGGCAGTTAGGTTTTACAATAATGATAATACTCTGTGAGGGGCGTTGCATTCAAACTGGGCTCGCGCATTGGCGTTGCTAGGAAACCGTTTTCCTCTCAACCAGGAGCCGTTAGTCTTAAGGTGCATGCCGGGTAATGTAGTCCCACAGGTGACAGACAGTGGCACAGAAGATGAAATCGTGGGAGGGGAGGGGCACAGGGCGTGACGTGTTTCCTGACCTTTCCATAGAACACCGTTGAACACCGTTACGCTCCCGGTGCATGCCGGTTAATGTAGTCCTACAGGAGAAAGAAGCAGATAACGATGAGGGGTGGGTCGTGTGGTCCCTGCCTGTGCTCGGAGTGGTGACGTCACCATGCTTGCCCCCTGTGTCATGGCAGAGAGATTGGAAGCCGGGGGTCTGTGACTCTCCCAGCTCGGGGGTCCCTGAGAGAGAGAGAGAGAGAGAGAGAGAGAGAGAGAGTGACAGCCATTCACCTGCCTGGGTACAGGTAACAACACCTCCTATACAATATGTACCATAAATACCATACAGCTATATACCATACAATATAAACCATACAATATGTACCATACAATATATACCATGTATACCATACAATATATACCATACAATATATACCATATATACCATACAATATATACCATACAATATATACCATATATACCATACAATATATACCATACAATATAAACCATAAATACCATACAGATATATACCATACAATATATACCATACAATATGTACCATATATACCATACAATATATACCATATATACCATACAATATATACCATACAATATATACCATATATACCATACAATATATACCATACAATATATACCATGTATACCATACAATATATACCATACAATATATACCATATATACCATACAATATATACCATACAATATATACCATATATACCATACAATATATACCATACAATATAAACCATAAATACCATACAGATATATACCATACAATATATACCATACAATATGTACCATATATACCATACAATATATACCATACAATATATACCATGTATACCATACAATATATACCATACAATATATACCATATATACCATACAATATATACCATACAATATATACCATATATACCATACAATATATACCATACAATATAAACCATAAATACCATACAGATATATACCATACAATATATACCATACAATATGTACCATATATACCATACAATATATACCATATATACCATACAATATATACCATACAATATATACCATATATACCATACAATATATACCATACAATATATACCATGTATACCATACAATATATACCATACAATATATACCATATATACCATACAATATATACCATACAATATATACCATATATACCATACAATATATACCATACAATATATACCATATATACCATACAATATATACCATACAATATATACCATAAATACCATACAATATATACCATACAATATATACCATGTATACCATACAATATAAACCATATATACCATACAGATATATACCATACAATATATACCATAAATACCATACAATATGTACCATAAATACCATACAGATATATACCATACAGATATATACCATACAATATAAACCATAAATACCATACAGATATATACCATACAATATATACCATAAATACCATACAGATATATACCATACAATATATACCATACAATATATACCATATATACCATACAGATGTATACCATACAATATATACCATATATACCATACAGATGTATACCATACAATATAAACCATATATACCATACAGATATATACCATAAATACCATACAATATGTACCATAAATACCATACAGATATATACCATACAGATATATACCATACAATATAAACCATAAATACCATACAGATATATACCATACAATATATACCATAAATACCATACAGATATATACCATACAATATATACCATAAATACCATACAATATGTACCATAAATACCATACAGATATATACCATACAGATATATACCATACAGATATATACCATACAATATAAACCATACAATATAAACCATATATACCATACAGATATATACCATACAATATATACCATAAATACCATATAGATATATACCATACAATATATACCATAAATACCATATAGATATATACCATACAATATATACCATAATTACCATATAGATATATACCATATAATATAAACCATAAATACCATATAGATATATACCATACAATATATTCCATACAATATCATATAGATATATACTATACAATATATACCATAAATACCATATAGATATATACCATACAATATATACCATAATTACCATATAGATATATACCATACAATATAAACCATAAATACCATATAGATATATACCATGCAATATATACCATACAATATCATATAGATATATACCATGCAATATATACCATACAATATCATATAGATATATACCATACAATATATACCATACAATATCATATAGATATATACCATACAATATATTCCATACAATATCATATAGATATATACCATACAATATATACCATAAATACCATATAGATATATACTATACAATATATTCCATACAATATATACCATAAATACCATATAGATATATACTATACAATATAAACCATATATACCATATAGATACATACCATGCAATATATTCCATATATACCATACAATATATTCCATACAGATATACCATACAGATATACCATACAATATATACCATTCAATATATAACATACAATATATACCACACAATATATACCATAAATACCATATAGATATATACCATGCAATATATACCATACAGATATATACCATACAATATATACCATATATAACATATAATATATACCATATAGATATATGCCATACAAGATATACCATAAATACCATATAGATATATACCATGCAATATATACCATATATACCATACAGATATACCATACAATATATACCACATATAACATACAGATATAATATATACCATATAGATATATGCCATACAATATATACCATACAATATATACCATAAATACCATATAGATATATACCATATAAACCATATAATATATACCATATAGATATATGCCATACAAGATATACCATAAATACCATATAGATATATACCATGCAATATATACCATATATACCATACAGATATACCATACAATATATACCACATATAACATACAGATATAATATATACCATATAGATATATGCCATACAATATATACCATACAATATATACCATAAATACCATATAGATATATACCATATAAACCATATAATATATACCATATATAACATACAGATATAACATATAATATATACCATACAATATATACCCTAAATACCATATAGATATATACCATATAGATATATTCCATACAGATACATACCATACAGAGATAGACATACCATACAGAGATAGACATACCATACAGAGATAGACATACCACACATATACAGATATACCATACAGAGATAGACCATCCACAGATAGACCATACAGAGATAGATATAACATACAGATATGCCATACAGAGATACCATACAGAGATAGATATAGATATATATTATATACAGCTAGGGGTCAGTTATATACATATAACATACAGATATAGATATATATTATATACAGCTAGGGGTCAGTTATATAGATATAACATACAAATATATATTATGTACGGCTAGGGGTCAGTTATATAGAAATAACATACAGATATAGATATATATTATATAGAGCTAGGGGTCAGTTATATAGATATAACATACAGATATAGATATATATTATATCCAGCTAGCGGGCAGTTATATAGATATAACATACAGATATAGATATATATCATATCCAGCTAGGAGGGTCAGTTATATAGATATAACATACAGATATAGATACATATTATATCCAGCTAGGGGTCAGTTATATAGATATAACATACAGATATAGATACATATTATATCCAGCTAGGGGTCAGTTATATAGATATAACATATAGATATATATTATATACAGCTAGGGGGGCAGTTACATAGATATAACATACAGATATAGATATATATTATATCCAGCTATGGGTCAGTTACATAGATATAACATACCGATATAGATATATATTATATCCAGCTAGGGGGCAGTTATATAGATATAACATACAGATATAGATATATATTATATACAGCTAGGGGGCAGTTATATAGATATAACATACAGATATAGATATATATTATATACAGCTAGGGGGCAGTTATATAGATATAACATACAGATATAGATATATTATATACAGCTAGGGGGCAGTTATATAGATATAACATACAGATATAGATATATATTATATACAGCTAGGGGTCAGTTATATAGATATAACATACAGACATATATTATATACAGCTAGGGGTCAGTTATATAGATATAACATACAGATATAGATATATATTATATACAGCTAGGGGGCAGATATATATCTATCTCAAGGGGCAGTTATATACATTTAGTAGTATTATGTTATTATTTATATAGCGCCAACAAATTCCGCAGCGCTTTACAGTGGGTGGACGAACAGACATGTAGTGGTAACCAGACAAGTTGGACACACAGGAATAGAGGGCTTGATCAATGAGCTTACATGCTAGAGGGAGTGGGGTAAAGTGACACAAAAGGTAAGGATAGTATTAGACTAGTGACAGTTACAAGAGAGGAATCAATCGGGAGCTATTAACAGTTTAATTGATACTCTTTTATGAAGAAGTGGGTTTTTAATGTTTTTTTGAAGGAGTGGAGACTGGGTGAGCATCTAACGGAGGAGGTAAGCGAGTCCCATAGGAACGGTGCAGCCCTCGAGAAATCTTGAAGGCGAGCATCAGAGGGAGGAGTACGGACAGACGATAGACGTAAGTCTTCGGCAGAGCATAAGGGCCTAGACGGGACATACTTGTGTATTAGTGAGGATGGATAGGTGGAAGGAGCATTATGTAGAGATTTGATTTAAATTAAGCCCTATATCTTAAGGAAAGCCAATGTAGGGACTGGCAGAAAGGTGAGGCGTGGTAGGTACAGCGTATAGGAAGATGAGCCTAGTATAACTAGAGATCATTTATTTATGTGTGTGTGTGTGTCTGTGTGTGTGTGTAGTGTTATATAAAGCTAGGGATCATTTATATTTAGATATAGGGGTCAGTTCTATACAGCTAGTGCCAGTTATTTATATATAGATAGGTGCCCTTATAACAGGATGTTTGGGTGCTGCATGCTCATTTTTAATGATTATTCTATTTCGTATATAATATATCTTTACTATCCGGAAAGTGATTAGTCCCTAGGCATGGACGATCCCTTACCCTGATACCTAATGTGTCTTCTTACACCCTATGCTGGTACGATAATAATCCCTTTTTATTATTATTTCTCGCTGTTTATATCTAGATTTCCATTTGACGTAAGCTAAAACGTTTTATCTTTGCACCTGCATGTATAGCACAACGTCGCCCACACACCTTGCTGTATCAAAACCTGTCTGTGTCACTCAGGAAACTCAAACATAGCTCTGCCATGGAAACCAACCTGCAGAAGAGGAAGGAGAGCAGAAAGGCTCTGCGAATCAAAGTCATCAGCATGGGAAACGCAGAGGTGGGCAAGGTAAGGGTTAACAGGTGGACTGCAAGGTGGGCAACGGTACGCAGCGGTTCTGGTGAGTTGGGAAAATGTTAATCTGGGACAGGCAATGGAAGTGTTAATGAATGATTAATATTTATGCAAACCATAGAAAGTATAATGGGTGGGTTAATAAACATGCAATGTTGAGACTGCCCAGCAAAGGTTAATAAAAGCTCAATGCTGGGTTGGGGAGCAGTTATTATACGTACAGTCCTAGTATCAGGAATCGGAATTGTTCATGTACATACAATGCTGGGATGGAAAATTATTAATGTGCAAAATCAAAAAATGTTACCTGCACACTATCTCAAATCCCTAGGTATATTTAAATAATAGAAGTTTTTTAGTATCACTGCAATGACCATTAGTGTAAGCTCACCTGCCACATCAAGGTAAATAATTCACCTTGCTACTTACTGCTAAAAGGCAAAATCTCTAATGAGACAAAAAGTTGAGTTGTGTTTGTTTGTTTATAGAAACCTTTTATTAACATAGAAACATAGAATGTGACGGCAGATAAGAACCATTCGGCCCATCTAGTCTGCCCAATTTTCTAAATACTTTCATTACTCCCTGGCCTTATCTTATAGTTAGGATAGCCATATGCCTATCCCACGCATGCTTAAACTCCTTTACTGTGTTAACCTCTACCACCTCTACCACTTAAGCTGGAAGGCTATTCCATGCATCCACTACCCTCTCAGTAAAGTAATACTTCCTGATATTATTTTTAAACCTTTGTCCCTCTAATTTAAGATTATGTCCTCTTGTTGTGGTAGTTTTTCTTCTTTTAAATATAGTCCCCCCCCCCTCTTTACTGTGTTGATTCCCTTTATGTATTTAAATGTTTCTATCATATCCCCCCTGTCTCGTCTTTCCTCCAAGCTATACGTGTTAAGATCCTTTAACCCTTAATAGTACACATGACTGTTTAATACAAAAGCAAATAAAAACACACCAAAATAAGTACTTTTTTTAAAGTCCCACTAATCTTGGGCGACAGCATTGGCTGTAGACTTCATGAGCCCAAGTATATATGAAAAGCTAGCCGCACACTCTCCTAAATCCCTATACCCATCTAAACTTGTTTTTGTTTTGTTTTTTGATTTGGGCTGATGAATACTATAGCCATCAATGCCACCCAAGAGTATTTGGAGTTTGAGTGCCGGGCATGTTTCTGTGTGTTCTTAATTGTCAATGTATGCACTGTGCGGGGTAGGTAATCGTAATGCACATTTAATGCAGATGCAAACAGTTATTTATTAAACTGAGGATTCAAGATTAAAGGAGCTGTATTGGAAAACTCCCACTTTGGCTACAATTTGAAATCTCAACATTTTACACTTAAAGCGACACTAAAGACACCCTGACAACCCAGTGCCCCTATGTGTTTAACCCAGCAATGTAATTACTGCACTTTCTGAGGAACTAGCTCCACCTTTAGTAGCTCTCTTCCAAACAGCCACTAGATGAGCTTCTGGGCCCCTAACTGAGTTTTACTCTGTTAAACCACGTTGGCCGCCCTCATGCTTTTCACGAGGACGTCTAAAATCTTTAAATTCCCCATAGGAAAGCATTGATTTGCACGGCGAGCACCACATGTGCATTAGGTCCCACCATCACTGTGACGTAACAGGAGGAGTAGGCCTAAGAGTTTTAACCCTTTAATCATCCAACAGGGGGAGGGGAGGAAGCACCAATAAAGTTAGGGACACTATAGCATTAGAAATACAGGTTTGTATCCTCACCCTATAGTTTTCCTTTTATTGAATAACCCTGCAAGGGTGGATTAATGTATGGACAATACTGAGGTTGGCATGGGAAGATTTAATGCATTGCTTTTGCTGAGTAACACAAACAAGGAGTTAATCACTTGGTAGTACTTGACATTACAAGGTTAATGTATGCAAAGTACTACGACAGCAGAGGTATGTACCCTAAGATAGCAAAGGGATGTATGGGTGTTTTTAAAGAAATCGTTAAGATACGGGCATTGATGTGGCCAAAGAAAGTGTTAATTTAGAAAGTGGGAGGGTCAGTGTCCAGGCAATGCTTGGATAAGTAAGGGAAGAGGTTATGAATGGGTAGTGTAGATGCTGAGTAGGGATAGGGTTAATGCACGGACAATGTCAAGGAAGGCAGGAGGGGTTGATGTTAGATAGTAAAAAGGGTTCATGTATAGGAATCGATTTAGCAAACTAGGTCAGGTGTATTGTCCAGGTTTTGTGGAGTCTGTCAAGGATTGGGTTTGTCTTTAGTTAATATATTGGCAGTGCAAAGGTAATAGTGAAATTAAAGGGACACTCCAGGCACCAAAACTACTTAGTCTTAATTGATTTGTCTGAAAGCATGCCTCTAGTGGCTATTAAACTAGAGGCATGCTTCCTTCTTAAGACCTTTGATACGTTTCAAAGATCTCACGGTACCATGACTCCCAACATGGTGTATTTGGTGGAAATGTCTTTTTTTTCACTCATTTTCCTTTCTAGAAGTAGTTTTTTCTGATTAGTGTTTAACTATCTCAGTCCTGGAACGGTCTGTCGTGTTCCTGTCTCATCCAGTGAAGTGAAGGGATCAGATGGCATATGTTTTTAATATTCACATCAGATTAGATATTCTAGCGAGCTGCAGCCATCTGTTTTGTGTTTTAATGCAGCATGCATGGTGGGCGTGCGTGCTTCGAATCGCGTCAGCAGAGGAGTTAGGAGACGGTTTGCCCTATTACCAGGGAGCCATGGCAGGGTACTCCTGGCGTAATAATCACTACAGTGGACTGCGGGGGTTCCGATTGTTGGATTAACCCTTTAAACATTTCCACTCTGACTTTACTTTCCATTTTCCTCTAAAACACTGCCACTGTGGCCATGTCTATACTGAGATTTTATTATTCTCTGTGTGTGTCTCGGTAAGATCAATTAAACTGATAAATGTGTGTTCCAATGGTAATCTAACTGTGCCAGTGTCCAGGCACCACTCTCAGCGGACAATCCACGCTTGGCAGCATTGTTTAACAGATAATGGGGTGCATACTGTCACGCTAAGGTGTACTGGAGCAAAGAGGACCATAGGAAAGAAAAGGTAGTAGTTTCTGGACTGACATTAGCAGAGGCAGCAACACATCAAATTGTCTTGTTATATTTGACCATCGCTGCTGTTTCCCATACTTTCAATGTGCCACCTCCTGTTTCTCCTACCCATCTATAGTGATTGTTCCCAGGAGTAGGACCCTGTATCTTCTATCAAATTTTGCTCTATTTCTTAGATGTATTGTACATTTTGTCTTTTACTTGTACCCATGTACAGTGCTTTAGTATAATAATAATAATCATTACAAGTGCCGGTAGGATTGGTAGGATGTCTGCTTTGAAAGATTTAGACAATGCCTAGTGATCTCTACTCTCTAACCCGAATTCCTCACATTGCTCGTCCTCTTATAACGTGTCCTAACGTGTTATAAGACCTGATTGTGGACACACAGGGTTAATAAATGTTTCCCTACACAGAAAGATGATTTCAAGTAATTCCCAACCCCCCATCCACAGATATACCTGAAAGCAGTCTGACTACTATGTAAAAATGTATAACGATTGTATGAAAATACTCACTTGTACTCTTGTCAGTGATCTCAATCTGATTTAAGGTATGTCTACCATATTAATTATGACAATTCAGAAAGGTTGGTTTGTTCTAAATTATTTCTAACATGTTTATTAATCCATTCATTAATGTTCTGAAGGGCAGGTATTGGATAATAAAATTAGATGTGTGTGCCTTTTATTTGGTTCTATTTAGATTTCTCACCATGTATAAAACCTGTTGTTTGAAGTGTACATCATTCATGTCAGGGCTATTCACTAAGGTGTCAGTTCAGCTATTTAGGCATAGAAATTTAATTTAAATTTGAATACACCCAAAAGGGAATACTATAAGTACCATAACCACTACGGCGGCATTGTTCTGCAACAAAATGTCAAACCGTTTACAAACAGGTTGACACTTACATGACTCTCTCGAATCCCAGGTGCAGGAGCCTGGAATCGATCTTACTGGCTATTCATTAGCTGAGAGCATCACTGCTCTCAGCCAATGAATGCAATTCTGTGCATAGGAATATAGGCAGTCCGGAACGCTATTTCCGAGCCTGCTAATGACACCCCAGTGACACTGCCGGAGGTGGAGTTACACATTTGCAGCAGTCCCTGGTAATTCTTATTAAAGGGACACTATAGTCACCTAGTCCACTGTATCTTAATCTTAATCCACCTCTAATGCCTGTCAGTATGACACCAACTTGAGGCACTTCTGCTGTACTGACTGAGTAAAATGTATTCACATGACACAGAGGCTGCATGCACATTAGGTGATAATTTTCCTTTATGAGGAGCATTGAATTGAACCACCAAGGAGGAGGCCATGCTTCCTGTGACGTCCTGGCGGGGGGAGAGGATTGAACAGGAAAAAGGTGGGTAAAACTTGGATTTTTTTTTTCTGTAAATATGGGACTAAGCAGAGCTAAGGGCCTTCTAGTGTTAGAAGTACAGGTTTGTATAGTTTTTCTTTAACTAGAATGCTTTGGAACACAATAAACTGGGAGCAGGAGATATTGCATACACACATACTTGATAGAAATAGAACACGTGGAATATTAATCCCATTATCTCACCTGCCGGCCTTAGCCCATGGCTATTGCGGCCCACCTAGCATTTGCCCAATGGCCGGTCTGGGCCTGTGTGTCATCCATTATCTCCATGTACTTTCTTAAAGGACCACTCTAGGCACCCAGACCACTTCAGTTTAATGAAGTGGTCTGGGTGCCAGGTCCTTCTAGGGTTAACCCATTTTTTTATAAACATAGCAGTTTCAGAGAAACTGCTATGTTTATGAATGGGTTAAGCCTTCCCCCTAATCCTCTAGTGGCCGTCTCATTGACAGCCACTAGAGGCGCTTGCGTGCTTCTCACTGTGATTTTCACAGTGAGAGCACGCCAGCGTCCATAGGAAAGCATTGTAAATGCTTTCCTATGCGACCGGCTGAATGCGCACGTGCGCATTCAGCCGACGGGGCGGAACGGAGGAGGAGAGAAGGAGGAGAGCTCTCCGCCCAGCGCTGGAAAAAGGTAAGTGTTTACCCCTTTCCCCCTTCAAGAGCCGGGCGGGAGGGGGTCCCTGAGAGTGGGGGCACCCTCAGGGCACTATAGTGCCAGGAAAACGAGTATGTTTTCCTGGCACTATAGTGGTCCTTTAATCAGCTCCATTATTTAACCTCAGCATTCTTCAAGCTGTGACAATTCCAAACACTGTGCCATCTGCACCAATGAAAATAAATGGGATCTGCTTTCCTACTCTCTGTATCAGTCAATCAATCATTGCTGACTTTTTTTTTTTTTTTTGTGTCGTCGTTTAGAAAAGGCTAGCTTATATAGTGTGTGTGTGTTTACAATGCTGCTCTACTGTGTGTTTGCGCAGATTGCCGCTTTCCCTGTTAGAGAGATAATCTTTCTACACTCATTCAGGGTTATTCACTTAAGTGAGAATTCAAAGTTAAGGTCAAAATAACCGAACTTGAATGATTATCTAAATCAGCTATGCTTTCAGTTTGGCTACTCTGGCCTTAAATTAGAAATTTACTCTGAATTCTCACTTTATATATATTTTTAATGGAAAATTCTTTCATACTCCCTGATATTGCTTTCCCTGTAATGGACCATGGCAGTAGTACTCCAGGGTTAGCTCCTCCCATGACTCCCATTGGACAGGACAACATTTTAGCTTATAAAAGGACACATGAACCATGATAACAGTTCGAAACAAGCCAACGATCAGGGAGGGTGCTTAGTGCTGCCATTACCGGAAAAGGAACACATTGGTAAGTATTAAGAGTAAGGAGCATAACTGTAATCTATCTTATAGGTTCAAATGGGGAACCTTGTAAGGCATCAAGTGGACAAGTGGCAAATACCAAAGAGTAGAAATGGACGTGATAGGAGGTCTGAACTGCATGACAGCCTTCATAAAATGAGCCACATCAGAGTTGAGTGCCCATCTCACTCAAGATAAGGCTAAAATGTGGACATATTCAGGCTGAGATCCTTGTCCAGACCATTTTGCAGAAGCCCCAGGAGATCCACAGCAGGGAAGGACCCTGGGGATATAACTTTGGTAGGTGCACAGTCAGATTAGATGTCCCAGATACGATAATAGGCAGCAGAAGTAATCCGTTTCCTTGCCTGAAGAGTAGTTGAAATGACCGCATCTGAAGACCACTTCTCCTTTAATCACCTAATTTCAGTCTCCATGCCATCAGCTGGAGGGTTTGCGGAGCCGTGTGGAACTAAGGACCCTGAGACAGCAGGTCCTCTCTCACTGGCAGACTCAAGTGGGCTCTCCATGGAAAGACTACAGTGGGAACCATGGTTTCCACGGCCAATATGAACTGCTATCACCACCACTCGTTTATTCTGAATCCTCCTCAAGAGGTTGAAGATAAGGGGAATTAGATGAAATGCATAACCTTTACGAAAATTACAGGAACAGCTGAGGACATCCCAACCTTCCGCAAGGGGATGATGCTCCTTGGAGAAGAACCTCTGAACCTGTCTATTCTGGAAGTTGGCCATAACATCGATCTCCAGAAGACCCAATCTTTGAATCAACATCTGAAAGGCCCATTTTGCTAAAGAGCATTCTCCTGGCAAGATTTGGTGACTGCTCAGGAAATCTACCTTGATGGAATCTGGAAGATATAGCACACATAGCCCCATAAGGTGTTTTTGTGCCCATTTCATCAGGGGAATCATGATACTCATCATTTTCGGGCTGCGAGTACCTCCTTGGTGGTTCACGTATGCCACCACTGCAGTGTTGTCCACCTGTAGTTTCACTAGTAGTGTCGAATTTCCAACTTTAAGTGACACAAGGGCTCCAAAATTGCCATTAGTACAGGTAGTTGTTAGATTCTCCTCTAAGGGATACAGGACATTTCCCTTAAATATATATCTGGTTCACATGAATGAAATAGGCGAATTTTGCCTGGATTTCACCCGAATTCTACCAAATTTGGTTAAAAATAAAGGTCACGGCCCCTGACTCGGAAGTACTTACTGCGTTTGCGCAAGGCACCCAAAGAATGCCAGCAGGAACGAAAATTCACCTCTGCCAAGTCATATAGGAACTCCTCAGCTGCCAGGAAATCTGTAACCCGTTCCCTTCGGCAGAGATCAAGTACCCATAAGGATTTATCCGACATTGCAAAGTTCTCATTCATCACACCGCATTGCTGCTACCCAAGGGTCAGTGCAGGGGGTCACCCTTGGTGAGGCACTGTATCCAGCAGCTTCTGGGAGAAGAGAAGTTGAACTAATACCAGTATATGTCAAAAAAGAAACAATAGGATAACAGAGAAAATCCAAGGGAATGTGGATAGGAAAAGAACCGGAGTATTGTGGTTCATGTGGCCTAACCTAACCTAAAATGTAGTCCTATCCAATGGGAGTGATTAGAAGAGCTAACCCTAGAGTGGCTGGGAAATAAATATACTATATATATATATACACACACACACATATACACACACACACACACACATATACTCTATTGCTTAGCTCACAAGATTTATTTGTGCATCAGGTTATTACTTGTTTAACCATTTTGTACTTTTTGAATAACTTTTAAATGTTGCTTAAATCTGCTTACTATTTCAGAGTTGCATAATAAAGCGTTACTGTGAAAAACGATTTGTCCCGAAATATCAGACAACTATTGGAATCGACTATGGTGTAACAAAGTAAGTAGTTTTATATATTATCTGAAATCTATCTCTGTTCTAAAAATTAAATCTCATTCTTTTATAGCTTTTAATCTCATTCATCGCACAGCGTTGCTGTCTTCATTTCATTTCAGTCTTTTTTTTTTTTTTGGTTTGTAGAGTTCAAATGAAAGAACGGGAGATCAAAGTTAACATATTTGACATGGCAGGACATCCCTTCTTCTACGAGGTATGTAAAAAGTAGTGTAAAGGTGAAAAGTAATGCATAAATTAAGCATTTTTTTTCATGGTTTCAGATTATATTTTGCTTTGTCTTCTGTAAGCGTCTCATTGTGATGGAATAAAAGTCTTGCAAATAAAATTAAAAATTCAAGCTATTGCATATAATTCTACGTATGCAGTGCTCAGATTACAAGGTTTTCTAAAATGGGCGATTTGTCAGATTGTTGTACTAGAAGACATTTGTTCAGGCCCCATGCTCAAAATTAAAGAGATACTATAGCTACTAAAACATCTTTAACTTAATGACACCGTTTCAGTGTATGGCTCATGGCCCTGCAGTTTCACAGCTAAATTCTCTGCCATTTAGGAGTTAAATCACCTTTTCTGTCCATGCAGCCCTAGCCACACCTCCCCTGGCTGAGACTCCCACAACCTGCATGAAAAAATGGTTTTGTTTTTAATCAGATGTTAAAGGAACACTATAGTGTCAGGAATACAAAGCTGTGTTTCTCTGCCACCTCCCCTACCCCCTGCATCCCTAAAAGAGTTTAACTTTTTTCTTTCACTCACCTTATTCCAGCACTGAAGACCTTTTGCGCTGTCTCCATCTCCTCTGATGTCAGAACTGAGGGGGAACCTAATGCGCGAGTGCACACATTAGGCATTGAATCAATACTTTCCTATGGGCATTTTGAGGATGCTGTACGTCCGTCCAGTCGTTTTACAGAGTCAAAATAGCAGGAAGTGCCTCTAGTGTCTTTCTGGTAGACAGCCACTAGAGGCAGGCTTAATTTTGCAATACAAACATTGCAGTATCTCCGAAACTGCATTGTTTTACATTGCAGGGTTAAAGCAACAGGGACATTGCTCCCAGATCACTTCAGTGAGATGAAGAGATATGGGTGCCCATAATATCTCTTTAACTTGCTTTAGTTGTTTTTACCTCCTGCTCTGTAAATTAAACTGTAATAACACATGGGACTCATGTAGGGGTAACATAATAATAATAATAATAATAATAAAAGGCTAATAACAGTGCTTTAGATTTCTCTTTACAAGAAGTGTTTATAAACAAAGTGATGTAATTCATAAATGGCAGAGAACTGAGCAGTGATACAGCAGGGGCATGATTGGTTCACTAAAGCGGCACTGTCATGGCCGAATACAGTTTTTAGGTTTTTTTCACCCCCCCTCATGACTTCACTACATCTAATTGTCCTCCAAGCCACCCCCAAATGCCCCAAGTCCCCCCATATTAACTATTTTTTAATCTTCATTTTGTGCCCGAACCTAGGTCCTGGGCGCCGCCATCTTTCTGTGGGTTGATGAAGTCCCTGTGGGACATATCATCTTCCTACACTAGATAGAGCTGTGAAATTCCCACACATGCCCAGTTAAACACTTGGGTATTCGCTATTGTCCGAAATGCAGACGGGATTTTAGTCTATTCCTTCATATGTCAGAAAGACGAAGGAATGAATAGAAATTTCAGATGAACAAACAAACACCGAATATCTTTTTTTAAATTTTCAACTATTTTTTATTTTTATTTAGGATATTATGTATTTTTATTTGCCCTTTTTTGGGGCTGAAAAAGGTTTTAGAAAAAAGACATAAAATAGAAAGTATTTTTTTTTTTTTTATTTACAGGTATTTAGTTTTTTTTTTGTCTACCCCTCACTATTTTTAAGGTTATGGTGTGTAGGTAGGGCTTTATTTAAGCTTTTTTGTGGGGTGACATGGGGCTTGGGGTATTTTTTAATTTAGCCCCCACTCGGTACACGGGGGGGGGGGAGGAGGACAATAGGTTCCCCCCCCACTCACTGCTCATGGGTGCGGTCTAGGCGGTAGACAATAGTTCCCCCCCCCATTGTCTTTTAGGGCACCCCCCCGCCGCTCGTGGGTTGGGGCTCCTATGTCCCCTGTTGAATAGCTCCCACTTGAGGGGGGCGGGAGGGACACTGTCCCCCCCACTAGTTAATGGATGTTTTATTTATTTTTTACAACAGTGAGCAGGTTTAGTAGACATGCCCCTCCTCGCGGCATAGCGATTTTTACTTAGTATTAGTAAACTTGGCTGAAAGACCAATCTTGGTCTTTCAGCCTTTTGGTAGATAACTCCCTAATTCCCATGGTATCAGGGAGCTATCTACTAAGCGGCTGCAAGATGCAGCCGCAGCACGGATCGGATCAAAATTGTATTCATTCTAATGAAATTTCGAACCAACCTAAAAGTACCGAATGTTGTCTTAACATGGATGAACAAACTGTTCTCATTCTGTTAGGACGAAATTCGTTAGTTTCGCCAGCGTTCTGTCTAAATCACAGGACGTTCGAGAATAGTGAAAGCAGGCATCGTGAGATCAGAGGAAAGGGTGAGTATTGTGGGAAAATTTCTCTGACCCACCGGAAGTGGGTCAGAGCAGGTCAAGCGTAGAAAAAATACATAAGACAAAGTAGTCCCAACTTTGTCTTATGTTTTAAAGAAAACTAGAGCAGACAGGAAGAAAAGAAGAACAGATCCCGAGAGAGTGAGAGAAGAGGAAGTGATTGGGGAAAGGTAAATTCGGCATGACAGTGCCGCTTTAAGCTGTTTTGATGACTACAGTGTCCCTCTAAACAATGCTCATTCTTATAAATGTATGAATTATGTTAAAAGGTAACTGATTATGATGTATTATTCATATTTCTTTGCTATAAGTCTGCTATGCCCTACGGTCTGCCTGAGAATAATGGGAAATGTAGTTCACAAGTGTCTGAGTTGCCAAGGTTGGCCACACAGCTTTATGGCATCTGGGACAGATAATCGAGAATTTGTAGAGAACTTTACCCATAATCCCTTTTTGGTTTTTGACTGTCTTGATTTTGTTGAATGAACCATGTTCTTGGCTCCTTGCTAGTACTAAAGTAAAGTACTTCTTTAAAAAAGGGTCAGACGTTGATTCAAATCAAAACAGGCACTTGAAGCTTTATGTTCCCTGTGTCAGTTATCCAGATTTAATTTATTTTATTCCACCCTTTAAGAAAACAAAATGTACCTTCTCAAACATGGCTGCTGCACTATTTGCTAACATACTTTACACTGTTTTTTTTTGTCTGTTCTCTTAGGTACGCAATGAGTTTTACAAAGACACTCAAGGTGTCATCCTGGTCTATGATGTTTGCTTGAAGGAGTCCTTCGAATCACTTGATGCCTGGTTAGCAGAGATGAAACAGGAGCTTGGCCTGCAAGGAAACATAGAGAATGTGGTATTTGTCGTGTGTGCAAACAAGGTACTCAGAAGTTTAACAAAACCCTCTTACATCCCACTAAATACAGCCTGTCACTATTTTATGGTATAATGTCACTTATTATAGACAATGGCATGTCAGTGATAATTCACTTAGTAAAACAATATTCACCATGTTTGAATTCTGCAGTAGATGATGGACCACGTTTGCAGTGTGCGGCAGATGATGACCCGCGCCTGCAGGGTGCGGCAGATGATGGCCCGCGCCTGCAGGGCGCGGCAGATGATGGCCCGCGCCTGCAGGGCGCGGCAGGTGATGGCCCGCGCCTGCAGGGCGCGGCAGGTGATGGCCCGCGCCTGCAGGGCGCGGCAGGTGATGGCCCGCGCCTGCAGGGCGCGGCAGGTGATGGCCCGCGCCTGCAGGGCGGGGCAGGTGATGGCCCGCGCCTGCAGGGCGGGGCAGGTGATGGCCCGCGCCTGCAGGGCGGGGCAGGTGATGGCCCGCGCCTGCAGGGCAGGGCAGGTGATGGCCCGCGCCTGCAGGGCGGGGCAGGCGATGGCCCGCGCCTGCAGGGCGGGGCAGGCGATGACCCACGTCTGCGGCATACTGGTCCACGGCGTGCGGTAGATGATGGCCCGCGTCTGCGGCGTGTGGCCAACGATATACGGTCCACGTTTACAATGTGGGGTAGATGGTCGTCCATAAACAGGAATTATAATTTCAAGCTACAGATTAGGGAAACAGCGCGCATACACACTATAGCTTTTCATTTTACACAGCTATTTCAAATTCTGTATCTTTGCAAACAGTAATGGGGAATTAGTCACACCATATGGCCATATCATGTTAAGCCAGGGCTCGAGTCCTGCAGGAACACGTGGAAACTGTGTTCCTGCACTTTTTCCACAGCACGAACACCGTTCACATTAGTAGTCCTGCAGGACCTGCCCTTTGATATAGAGAATTAGACCCTGGTTACTGATGTCCCATTACCCTCTATGGAGCTCCCAGTTCTCTGCTCACATCGATTGCTCTGGCAGCGCACGCATGATCGGGCAGATCACGTGTTCGGCGGTGCCTGTAGAAGCCGGAAGTGGCTGCTGTTACGGTGAGACTGCAAGCATGAACCTACTGCCCTGTAAACCGCACGGCATTGGCCTGCTGTATGCGGGCTTCAACCAGGACCACGGTGAGAGGCTAGGGGGACAGGGGGTGAGAGACTGGGTACCGGGAATGGGGGGAACAGAGTTATCAGAGGGGATACCTGAGGAGAGATGGAATGGGTACATGATAAGTAGCCATTGGATGGGTGGGACAGGGGATAGCAGAGAAGGTGAGATGGATACAGTAACAGAGTGTACCCGAGAGGTAGGTATTGAATACAGAGGCAAATGATACTTGAGAGGTTAGGAATGGGTAATGTGATTAGGGCTGGGAATGGTAAGATTAGCAATGGGTGATTTGATTAGGGCTGGGAATGATGGGATTAGGAATTAGTGATGTAATTGGGGCTGGGTGATGGCAATAAGAAGCATTCATAATGTAAATGTAAAATTAGTGTAAGATACAAAAAATACCTCAGGGAAGTTGTGCCCTGTTACATAAAAACTAGTAATCCAGCACGTCTGATTCAGTGTAACAAATTATCCATTATTACCTGTTTTTCTTTCTGCTGTAGAATTGCTTCATTACTGCTCGTATTAGACAATGTCTAGACATGTCTGTGTCTTTTTTGTTCTATTTGGCTAAAGGTTGAAAGGGTTACTTTAACATTGAAGTATTGCTGCCGGTTGCCTGTGTATTATAATTTTATAAAGTTGGTAGAACCCACTGATATTGGGATACTCTGGTGTAGTGATGTCACCATATAGTGTAAGTAAATTAACTGATTCTTCCCTTAATACTATTAAAAGCTTATATTTTAATTTATTTCCACTACCCTTATCTCCAGTTGAGAGCATCAGTCATGTTTTCAGTGGGTTACACTTGCAGTAATATGCACCTCTCCTGCATATCCTTGTTTGGGAAGCACAGACTTGCTTCACACCACAAGTTAAAAGTCCCCAACAGGCCAACACTTTATGCTGGCTTTGTGTAAATAAAATGTATCCGCTTTCTCCATTCTCAGATTGCCTGCCCATTGCTGCTGCAATAAATCATTCTGGCTGTTTTTCTCCTCCCTCTGTTGTGTTCTCTCACACAAGACCTGACCTTCCTTCCTCTTGCTTTCACTTAAGTTAATTTCAAACAAGAGAGACACCCAGTGGAGGATTTCCCTGATAACAGACATGGACAGCAAAGCATAGCCATCCAACAGGAGGGGGAAAGGGCTGCTTTTTAAACCTCTGATTTTAGAGAAATCTAGACATTTGCCAGCAGTCCTGCTTGTACAATGTAGAGATTGCTTGAATCACCTACAATTCTACATTTGTGTGCGATGAAGAGGTTAGGTGAAATTAATAAGGCAGAGGAGGAAATAAACCATGTCCTCTGCTGTGTCAGAAACGGGACTGGTCTATGGGCTGCTGTTAGAAGTCATTGTCAGCAGGAAGAGAAGGCGTAATACTACACGCTGAGTGACCTCTTACAATATACATGGTCTTCTATTCACAGATTGACTGCTCCAAGCATCGCTGTGTGGATGAAAGCGAAGGGCGACTTTGGGCTGAAAGCCGAGGATTTCTATATTTTGAAACTTCTGCACAAAGTGGGGAAGGAATCAACGAGATGTTCCAGGTACACACTTTATTCACAGCTTCTCTACTTGAAGGATGCCATAATAATAATAATAAATAAATAAAAAGTCTTTATATTGGTAGCATTCATTAAAACAGTAGTGCCAGTTTTCACTATGCTTTTTTTTTTTTTTTTTTTAATTCAATTAATTTAAAGGATCACTCCAAGGATCATAGCCATTTCCACTCAATGTAGTGGTCATGGTGGCCTGACCCATCCCAACTTTATTGTAATGAGAGAAATCCTTTTTTTGAATGGTCTGCCTTCTTACCTGGGTTCTGCTTGTGGTGTATCACCAAATTAATATATATACTACACAAGGTTCGTCTACATTAAAAGGTATTTATTAAAAGGCAACAACACAATATTATAAATGTATCACAAACACACAGCCCAGACCCACGGAGCAACAACCCTTTTAAATCTATCTATCTATATAGTAACCCCTTCCACACACGCTTGATCTCACCCACGGTTAGGCCTTCACATCTAGTAATGGCTCACTGCTGCAAGTTCAACATCACATCCACCAAGGAAGAAAAGGAAGCAACAGAGTGTAACATGGTTCACCATGCTAGCCCATGGCGTCTGCACATCTGCTCTGCAGCACAGCCAAGAAGGAACAGAGAGGAATGGAGAAAGGGGGAAGTGGTTATCTCTTTCCTGACTTGTAAAGGTATTGAATTACCAATTAACATTTCAAAAGGGTAAAGCTTATCCCACTGTAAGAAAAGCAAACATGAGCTTGGTCACATGACCCCTGGTCACCATATTAGTTTGATGACAGAATGTCACCACATTCCCTCACTTTTTCTTCTCTTATGTTGAGCACATTTAAAAATAATAATTTATCCCTTCTATCTAAACTATGAGATCTGAAGTAGGAAAGGGGATCACAGGAATTATAGTGAGTGATATAAGAAGGGGGAAAGAAAACAGTCAAATAGGGGTTGCATCACCCCACATTCCCCCACTTTTTCTTCTTTTATGTTGCTCCGTTATCTAGTTATCCCTCTAGTACAGGAAAACCTAGTGGGAGCAAAAACCTGATATACAGGAGAAATTCAACCCACCGTCCCTCCGGAATAGTTCCCTCAGCGACATAAGTTCTCCTGTACTTTCCTATGGCTGTCAATTCACATGTTATACAAAGTGTCACAAAAAAACAGAACTTATAGAATGTAGGTGAGAGTGTGTGTGTGCAATGTAAAACTTTATTGAAGAATGTGTGAGAGAGCGAGAAAGAGAGAGAGAAACAAACAAAAACAAAAAAACAAAAAAATCCCCCTTTTCAAGTTTCTTCCTCATCTATTTAGCATGAGTACTAGCAGCAAAGTTTGTAGGACTGGATGTGATATTTGCAGAATTCCATACTCTCAATCCAGTTCCGACTCCTCCCAGTAGAGCTGCAAATTGTCCCATTTTTCCTGACACCCTGCTTTGCCTAAAACACTGTCGCCGTTGTTCTGGACACCTTGGAGGAATAGAAGGATTATTAAAATATAGACTGTAATCTTCTCCCTTATTTGGAGTATCTTCTGGCCGTATTGCCTGTCTCCCATCCCTACTGTGATACAGCGTATACTTATCCATCCTGTAACAAGGATCCACTACGATCTTCTGTTGACACACATCATCATCCTAATACAGCTTTGCCTTGCTCTGTGGGAACACTAGATCTCATCATTAGAAAGGAATAGCTAAATGGGAGACTGGAAGACTGAGAGAAAGAACAAAACAAAAGAAAAACAAACATACATAGGATGTAGAGGACAACAACAGTATTTCCCTTCCTCATCTGTTCCCTAAGCACTTTCACGTCTGCCTCCAATCTCTGTCTGTCTCTTTATTTCCCAGTAGTCTGTATTCCCTTCTTTATTCCTCCAATTATCCCAATTCCGTCTATTGGTCTGATGCTCATCCCATCTATGGTTCCTTTTCCAATTATTCTCCCTATAACTGTTCCTGTTGTTTCTCTGTTTTTCTTGCCAACTGTGATTTTCTGAGTTATCTCTCCTTTTTAGCCTCTCCCAGGTATTATTATTCCAATTATTATTGATTACCTTAGGCCCCTCCCATCTATTCCTCCAATTATCTCCCATTACATTCCCATGGTCCCTGTGTGGATCTCTCCATCTTTTGTCAAAGCCCTGTTTTGGTCTCCAGTTCTCATTATCCCTCTTGTTCTGGGGTACACCCCACCTCTGGCTTCTCCATTTACCATCTACATCTCTACCAGACTCGACCTTAAATGTTCTTACAGCTGAAACAGAGCAGGCCTGTTCTGTGAAAGGATGCTTGATCCACCACTTATCAGCTCTAGTTAGTACCATTTCCAAGTCTGTTGGTGTTGGATCAAAAAGCCTGACAAATTCTTGACACTCCCGGGGAAGGGCTTCCATTACTTTTGCTATATGTTCTGGTGAGCCCAGCACTAGAGGCTGTTGAGGTTGGCGTAGAGTATACCAGAAAAATATCCTTTGAGCTACCTCTCTAGGACCATCTGTTGGCCTCATGGTAATATTTGCTGTTTCTTTCTCTATACTAAGTAGATAGAAATTAGTTGCAGCAATTCTTCCTGCCTGATCAGACACACTGTTATTAAATCCAAATAGTCTGCTAGCCAAAGGACCCATAGCATATTCTAACAGTTCTGTCCATTCTTCTAAGTTAAGACCTCCTTTTTTTGCTCTATTTGCTCCCCTCATAAACCAATGTGTAAAGGTGTTAAAGTCGTCAGTTGGCATACTTCCCCACCATTTCTGGAAATTATCTTTGTCTGTGATTGACATAGTGCTTGTCTGTCTAGAGAAACTAGTAGGCATTTCTCTTGCATTAAAGTGTTCAGTTATTATTAAAGGGGCTTGTGGGACACAGTTAACAACCGGCGCATTTCCCTTGTGTTTGGTTCCGAGCACTGGTTCTGTACCTTTACATATAAAATGAGACTGACCTGGGCATACTTTAGGAATCTCCTTATCCCATTTATTTATGTTTTCTTTAGTTTTCATTTTATATTCCATAACTAGGTTTTGGAGTTCAGTGATCTTAGCACTATATGCATCTCTCTGTTGTTCTATTTCCTTTAATTCCTTCTCCAACCCCTCGGTCATTTTGTTTGTTCTTAGGGCAGCTATTTTAAAACAATCTCTTTCATCAAGAGCATCTTCCATTTTATTAGTGGTTACTAAATTAGCTTGCTGCAATTCGAGTACCATGCTTGCCAAACCCCCTATTGCAGCAACAACCGCTTGTGCCACCAAGCTTTTCCTTTTCTTAATATGGCATTTTTTATTAGTAACAATCTGTGTCAAAACATCCATGAAACCTTCATATTTTCCACAATAGGGGCCTGCTGGTTCTGGAAGCTCATATGGTCCATCATGTTTGTCAATGTCATTCTTAAAGTACTCTAGTACTTCTGCAGAAAAATACTTAGTACCTAGATATGCCATTTTAAAACCGAGCTCTCCCTAGGTCTTTAATCAAAATAGACCAGCAGACTAAGGAAAAAAAAACAACACGCTTTTAACAATGGGATTAATTTAAAAAAACTGAAACTGGCTCCAAAGAGATTGAACCATTTGAGAAACTTAATTACATTAACCTATTCAAACAAACTCTTGTCTTTTAAGAAAAAAAACTTCACAGTCTCAATACAAGTACCAATGCAGTGCAACTATTCAATCTTCCCCTTTAATCACCAATACTTTAAAAATACTAGGCCTGAGCTATGGTAGTCAAAACCCAATAAAACTCAACTCAGGTATTAGAAACACACAAAAAAAACTAATACTATATTGAAAATTGAGGCCTGATGCCCAAGCTTGTATATTAAAAAGGAGGCACGAACTAGGATACAAAAGAATCAAATCAGCATTCAAATACAAAAAGAAGCCGCATGGAAGCCTACTAAAATGCAGGGCTAGGCCTGTACTCTGTCAAAACCCAATAAAACTCAACTCAGATATCTGAAACACACAAAAAAACTAATTATATATTCAAAATTGAGGCCTGATGCCCAAGCTTGTCACAAACACACAGCCCAGACCCACGGAGCAACAACCCTTTTTAAATCTATCTATGTATATAGTAACCCCTTACACACACGCTTGATCTCACCCACGGTTAGGCCTTCACATCTAGTAATGGCTCACTGCTGCAAGTTCAACATCACATCCACCAAGGAAGAAAAGGAAGCAACAGAGTGTAACATGGTCCACCATGCTAGCCCATGGCGTCTGCACATCTGCTCTGCAGCACAGCCAAGAAGGAACAGAGAGGAATGGAGAAAGGGGAAGTGGTTATCTCTTTCCTGACTTGTAAAGGTATTGAATTACCAATTAACATTTCAAAAGGGTAAAGCTTATCCCACTGTAAGAAAAGCAAACATGAGCTTGGTCACATGACCCCTGGTCACCATATTAGTTTGATGACAGAATGTCACCACACTGCTGAGCCCCACTCTCCACTTCCATTACTTTCACTGGGAATCCAGATGTTCCTAAGCAGGAACTTCTGTTGGATCTCCTGAGCTAAGCCCTGCAATTGAATTGGACATTTCTGGCACTTCAGCTGCTGTGAAATAGGACTTAAGCAAATCATTTTCTCATGGAAGCTGTAATTCTGAAAATATTAATCTTTGTAATATATTGTTCTGCTATGCATAGTATTCCACACTAGAGGGAGCACTTACCTGAGCAGATAGCTTCATTCTCTACCACACTAGTAGGTAGGCTAACCCAGAAATATACAGGGTGATTTACTGAACTGTGAATTTCTCATCTAAGGCCAGAGTAGCCAACCTGATTGCATAGCTGACTGAGAGGTTTTTCAGTTCAGCTATTTTGACTTTAAATTTTAAATTCCATTTTGAATTTACTTTGAATTCTCACTATAGTAAATAACCCTGAGAGTGTGCACAGTAAGGATCAACCAATTATCGGTCTGGCCAATATTCGGTATTTTCGGCAATTCGGTCTCGGACTATAGAGATACCTATATTGCCGATAATACATACCAGGACTGCCGGGCCCAAGACAAGCCCGGCGGTCCTGGAGGGCCCGCAGCAAGCTCTTACTTTCCCCAGAAATGGAAGGTTGGATACTGGTCTGTAATTAGCCATGCAGTCTGGGTCTAATAAAGGTTTCTTTAAGAGTGGATTTACTACAGCTTCTTTTAGAGGATCAGGGAAGTCTCTAGGTTTTAGTGAACACTGCACTATTTTTGTGAGGGCTGAGGCGAGTGTTTCCAGATATAAGCTAAGTTGGAGCAGGGTCTAAGTCACACGTAGTAGGGTGTAACTTTTGCATGGTTCTTTTAACTCCTTTTATATCCACATTTGTAAAAGTGGACCATAAACTGGGGCAATCTGGCATTTCATTGTAGTGGTTCTGGTGTGTAACTGTTTGGCCTGCTGTGATAGAGGCTCGGATTGAGGAAATCTTGTCTCTGAAGAAGATTGCAAATGCTTCACACTTATCCCTAGAAAAGTTGGTGGGGATATGCATGCATGCTGGTTTGCAGAGTCTTTCTACTGTGCAAAACAGTTGCCTGGGTCTATTGTGGGAGAGTGCAATTTCGCATTATAAAAATTTAAGATTTTTTTCTGAGTTCTCTTGCATTGATATTCATTTAGTTGTTTGGTAAGAGCGGCTTTATCTTCTGGATCATGTGTCCTGCGCCACTTTCTCTTGAATTTTCGGCCTGTTCTCTTCATTTCTCTGATGGTGCTATTAAACCACGGTGCATTGTTGTGGGTTTTGACAGTACGTATGTGTGTTGGTGCAATGCTTTCTAGGATATCTTTCATGGTTTTGTTGTAGAGTCGGACTAAGGAGCTGGGGTCTTCACAGGTGCCCATAAGTTCACTTAGATCTATATGTGATGTTACATCCAATGGGTCACCCCTTTTAATGAGCGGTGTTTGACCGTGTTCTGAGGCTGGGGTCTGGTTGATTGTGATACATTGGAGAAGTCAACAGAGTGGTGGTTTGACCAAACAACTGGATTTACAGTTACTGGTGACATTTCTAGTCCAGACTGGAACAGTAGATCAAGTGTGTGTCCTTTTCTGTGGGTGGAAGTGGCGACTATTTGTGTGAAGCCGAGTGCATTCATCAAGCTGAGGAGATCTTGCCCAAATAGGGATAGGGTGTCATCAATCCAAGCGTTGAAGTCTCATTAAAAAGCCATCTGGGGTGTTCAATGATTAAGCCAGCCAAAAGGTCTGAGAGTTCCTGAAGAAATCTTTTCCCATCTCCTGGGGGTCTGTATATTAACAGTATCCGGAATCCTCTATCTATTAAGAGCCTGGCAGCTACACATTCAAAAGATTGGGGTTTGTGGACTTTTATTGGTCTGGGATTTAAGGATGATTTCACACAGATCATAACTCCACCTCCCTTGCGATATTGTCTCAGGCGGTGGAACACCGTGTAATTGGCTGGAATAGCTACCTCTAGAATAGGCCCCGCATTTTCATCTAGCCATGATTCTGTAATGCACACTAACTCGCATATTTTAATAAGGTCGGTAATAATAGCTGTTTTGTTCCTTATCGATCTGGCATTGCACAGGATTGATCTGATAGGATGGACAGTCTTGGGATTCTGAGTTTTTGCTCTGTACTTTGGAAACAGTGTGTCTTCTAATGGGGATCACACAAAGAGGTTTCCTTGATTTGCGTTTTTTGTGGCTTCTAGGTTGAATCACTTCAATTAGGCTTGCAGGTAGACAGTGTGGTGACGCGCCTGTGATAGTCAGGAGGATATACAACTTTAAGTTTTGATTTTCCTCCACTACAGCCCCTTTCAGTCCCTTTGAAGATGCCAAGTGATTTTAGGGTAACCACTAGCGAGAGACTGCTTTTTGGGGTCTTAGGGAATAGAGATATGAGGGAGTATAGCAGCAGTGAAGGCGTTAAAATTGCTTGTAGTTTTTGTAGGGATGTTAGCAGTGGGGGCTGGTTACATTGCCTTGCTCTATAGGATTCAGGCCAGAGCGAGGTATGAGATTTTGCACTTCTGGTTGCATTGTAGATAACAGATAAGAGCGCATGCATGCAGGTCAGATTACAGCAATTCAAAATCAATGTGTTTTAGTGAAATAGTTTTCATCAATTAGTTTTCTTGGTGTTTAGAAATGAAATCTGAGCATTGCCGAATGGACGATCAAATTCAAAACCCAATTTTACAAATGTTATGAGTCGTTTTGTTAGTTTAAATGTACCTTGTTTGTGGTGTTCAGTTGAAGGTATCTCTTCCTGGTGGTAAGATGGTCCAGTGGAAGTATATTTCAATCCGTTGTGTATCTCTGTTTAGTAATGCCATCCGTGCAATTGTGGTAAATCCAGTTGTGTGATATGTGGAGTCAATATTGGCCCTTGAAATATTTCTGATGAATTATGAGTGTAAGGAGGTTAAAATTAAGATAATTCCTGGAGAGGTCAGGAGCATGAAAAAAGTGTGGCAGCCAGCAAGGGCGCCTGTTATATAAATATCTTAGATCTTATGAACTGCAGCCCTTTTCCCTGTAAGAGACTTACAGTCTCTTCACAGGGAAATATCCAATCCGAGGCTTCTCATTGAGCACATGCTGTTTGATTGACAGCCAGAGGGCTGTTGCCTAGCAAATTTATAAAAGTGCATGTTTCTCTTAGAAATCAGCACTTTTACAAACTTTGGTTAAACCAGGCTACTTCTCACCCAAGAAGCAATTTAGCATGCTGAAGTGCTGGGTGTGGAGTGGTCCTTTAAATGTGTTATTTTTTGTTAATTTAAAGTGAATTTAAATTTGTCACCAAAATATCTGGAATGAAAGCATAACTGTCTTCAATTAGAGAATGTTTCAAATTCAGCTATTTTGGACAAAAACTTAAAGTTTCAATATGAATGCTTGACAGGTCACACTAAAGCTAAAAATCCTGTGTTTCAAATTTTTAAATAATACAATATATTATTGGAATTGTTCTTCTTTTAATTCTGAATCTTTGCTTTAAATTATTGGCTTGTGTCTAGGAATGGTATGTGTTAGCAGGCCTCGTTTGCTTTTTCATTCTCGAGTGAGATATTTATGGAAGACAAACACTCCAGAGCTGCAGATCAGACCAAGGAATGTCCTGCTTTAATATTTATGCATTTATTTGAATGAATTCCATGCAAGTCTTTGCTTTGTGTATAACAGTGCTCATACAAAAATAAACGTGCTTTCCTTTCAGTCTTTTTATTCTTCCATCGTGGATATGTGCGAGAATGGTGGGAAACGGCCGATGTCCTCCATTAATATCGGATTCACCAAAGAGCAAGCCGACACAATTCGCAGAATCCGTAGTAGCAAGGACAGCTGGGACATGCTAGGTGTCAAGCCTGGGGCCACTAGGTAATAACTGCTTTCAACATCTTCCATTTTGTTTTACCAGCATAAAATCATTGGTTCTATAATTACATTTTATATACCTTGTGCTTCACGTGGATAAATAGAGTTTAGCAAGCTGCACACTGGCATTTATTAAGAAAAATCTATACATTTTATATTGTTTGATCGGTTTTTTTTTCAGTATTGATAGATCCTTCTTAAACAATGGTACTAATATAGCCTTTTCTTTACACGTTATACTCTAGTGTGTTATTACCTAGGACAGCAGTGTTGATGTTAATCCATGTTGGTTTAAAGCAGGTATATGTCAGAATTCATCATTTACAGAACAATATGCTGTCTGTTATAAGGAGTAATGTAACTTCACTTTTAATAATTCGTCTGTAGTTCATTACATACGATCAGGCTGTACTCCCTCTAGTAATGTGCTCTTTGGCACTTACTGTTGATGAGATGTTTGCATGTAGGTGTGTAGTGTTCTTGACCCTCTCCTCTGACACCCAGAAGGAAAACCAACAAACAGCTTGGCAACAAAATAGACCATAGTCTTGTGTTTACCTGCCACCGTAATTCAGTTTATTGATTTGATGTTTAACTTGATAGCCAGATTTCTTCCACCTAAATCCACATAGATTAAGGAAAAACAACCTTTATTCTTATTTGACATCATGGCTCAGACATGCAGGGGGAAGCATCGGATTAACTCTGACGCGTTTCACAGAACCAGCTTGTGCTTCCCCCTGGATAAAGGCATTTTTAATTGATGTGCATTTATCTAGAGCAAATTTTGATGCCTCCAGCTATTTGTTTTTTCCTCTTGAATTGATCTGGACTAGTTTTAGGTAAAGTCATAGATCAATCTCTACAAACTGTATTTGCTTTCCCGCAAAAATGTTCTGAAAAATATATTTACACCATGTTATGTCTCCTAGGGATGAAGTCAATAAAGCGTACCGTAAATTAGCCGTTCTCCTTCATCCGGATAAGTGTGTGGCTCCTGGAAGCGAAGATGCCTTTAAGGCAGTTGTCAATGCTCGGACAGCCTTGCTGAAGAACATTAAGTAACGCATTGTCAATTCAAAGCCACGCATACCCACCTTGGTTCTCGACTACAAATTCTCTGCTTGCAGATGCCAAAGCACATAGATGGCCATTCACCAATGGCATGTCATTTGGCCATAGACATAAGCAAATACAAGTGAGGTTAATCAGCGGACATTTCTAAATCTGTATTGTTTTTATGTCCACGAGATGGCTTTAATCCCTAAATCAACTCAGCAAATTGAGACCGCTGATCTCTGCAGACTTAATACAGCACTACTGACCTACTAAACAAGACTATTGCAACATTCATGTTCTGGAATGAGTCCATTGGGGTTAGACATTGAACATGAGTGTGGGTCGAAGTTCTAAAAGTGAACACTCTCCATAAAAACCAGTGAAATGTTACTGCTGACACCACTGGTTTCTATGGAGATTACTCTATTTTTACAACTTTGCCTCAAAATGTAGCTATTTTACACTTTTATACCTCTCCCTTCAGTGTTTTTATTCTTGTCACACTTTTTATTGCATGCAGGCAGGATGTTAGATGTTGGCAAGCACACGATGCCTGTGTGTATATATGCACACTTTTCTAGTATTAATGTTTTTATTTTTTGGAATAGAAAAAAGTTGGTTCAAGCACAAGTAGTTGGCTAATTGTATATGTTACAGTTCATCTGCTGCATGCCATGTTGGATATCTTGCAACTACATTTATGTGGAGCCCATATTGGGGAAGTTTAAATATGGTACTATAGACAGGCAGCCATTTTGTTTTACCCAAACAGGGATTTAAGTCGTTTAAAAAGGCTTTGTCCCATAAACTGTGTTTAGATGCTAATGCTTTAGATTGAGCCTATATAGTGGTAGTCCAGCCTTGCCCTTTCTTATATTGATCTACATATCCCATAATTCTCTCACCGCCTCTTAGTTAAAAAAATATTATTAAAACATTATTCTTATATCTGCCTATATCTGCTATTAAAATGTTACTGTGGCAAAACGTTACACGTCATATATGGAAGTTGCAGAGGATGTTGCCAAATATTTGGACATTGTTTTTTTCTTACGTACTGTTATTTATCTTTGCAATTCTGTTTGTACAATGTGTATGTCCGTTTTTATTTATTTTGGTTTTATGTTCTACACCTTATGTACATCTTGCAGAAAATAATCACATTTTGAGCAAAAATCATGTAATTGATGTTTTGCTCAAAAAATATTTACATCTTGTACCTATTTCTGTGCTGTGCTTTTTACTTAAAACTTGATAATGATTTCTTGATATTTAGAGTTCACTCTCGCTTTCAAAAATATAATTATTTATTTATTTATTTTACTCAAACAATTTGATTATAAGTTCAGTAAATCACCCACACGATCTCTTACAGCTCTGAGATATAGTGAAGGTGATAGGACACACAGCTGAGTCGATAAATGTGAGTGTAAAATGTCTGCTCCACCTCACACATTGGCCACTAATCACTAGTTACTGTGCCCCCAGCTCCGCTCTACAGAATGTCTCCATTATTTTTCCGCTGCTCCCACTATTACACTATTGAGGCTGCATGTTCTTCTTCATACAGGAGTCAACATCTGAAGCCATTAGCAAAATGGCTGCTGACTTGTGCAATCATTTCTATCTGTACCCAAGCCAACAACATGGACAGATCATCCAAAAAAAACTCCAAGTGTGAGCAAAAATGTAAATTTCCAAGTAACTAAACTACTCAAGATATTAACTACAAGATGTTAGTCGCAATCAAATATGCCTCATGCAATTGAAAAAGCATGCAACATAGAAAGTCCTCCCTTTTACTACAAGATGTAAATCGGGCTGACTAATTATAGGCTGTGAATGGAAAAACAAACTAACTTATTTGTTTTATGTGACTTATTTTTATACATTTCTTTAGTATTTAAAGAGAAAATGTTACGTTTCTATTTTATATGTATTTTGTGTTTTGTGAGAAATGAATTTGTTTTGCCATGACGGAATTGTTTGTTGGAATACATTTATGCACATACTCAATTATTATGCACAATAAATCACAGGTTTATTAAAACTTCTGTTTTTTTCCATGAAAGTACTGGAGATAAGCTCAGCTGCTGAATATACAAATAGAAGACATAGTAAAGGAGTGTATGCTACATTTTAAAAGTTATTTTTGTTTCTGATAATATGTCTCTAACTTCCATTTACTTCACCGTTGTGATTGTTTTTTAAAGATAGCACTTGGGGATGATCTGTAGGTCTAAATCTTTGCTTTATATTAAAGTTTAAACTGATTTAAAAAAAAAAAAAGACACTAGGTCTTCAATTGACATCTCGGTTTGTGAGCAGTACTTTCTGTAACTTATTCTTCTTCCACACTAATAGGAGCACGTCCGTAGCAATCTAGATATGCCGACACTTTATTCAAAATGTCTGAAACCCTTAATGTATTACTTTGCCCTTTTTCCAAAGTAAACAGACGTTAATAAAATATATATATATAAAATCAAAACAGGAAGTTCATCTTTACCATAGTAACTGAAATTAGAGAAATGAAACAGCTAACATCACAGGTACATGAGTCTCTGCATCTCTATTACAACACACGGTAACCATGGCTGAAACAGCAGTAGATTACCTTTTTTATGAATGGGAAGCTATTGATTCTAATGCCGTTGCTGACCTAATCTTCCATCATCTGAGATTCAGAGAGAGGAAGGACAGGGGAGTGAGCAATACGCCGTTGGAACAGAGATTTAACTGGTTTAACCTGGAAAGGTGAGCTGGCTCCGGGAACCTCCTGGCACCATAGCAACTTAATTTTTTTGAAGTTGTTATGGTGCCCAAACTGGTCCTTTTAAAGAATTTTTTTTTTCTTTCTGTTTAAGAAACATGACAGTTTGGTAAAAAAGAAAATACCACAATAGTCTGCTCTTTTGCGGATAACCTCATGGATTCCCCATGATGCCTTGGTTTTCCGCTGCCTCCTGGAAGTGGTAGAAATGTTTTAGCCAATCCATACTTGTCTATTATTTTTAATTTTGTGAAGAAATTGGATAATTATCATTTTAAATTAAAATTACTTGGGAATGAACAATACTGCAGTAAGTGCTTCCATGTCATTATAGGTTTCCTTTAAGCATTCAGGTCTTCATGTCTCTTCCAATAACATGCATGGTCCATGGGTCAAAGGTTAATGTAGCAACACTGCCCACTAGCTACCCAATTTCCATGCTTGGTATCACTTCCTCAAGCAGGGTGCATCTCCTCTATGATACTGAGCTTTCCATCGTTCTTATATTCCTCTATCAAAGTGTGAGATATTGTCACCAGATGATGGAGAGCCACCTGTAGGAGTGCCGTCACGCTCACCCTGTCCTTTAATACTCGGCTCACATGCAGTGTTGTTCATCTAACCCTCTGTGCCAAGGAATCATTGGCAAGTGAAAACAGGGGGCCAGATGTTTTGTCTTAAGTGTTTTGTTTTTATCATCAAGTTCCTAAGGGATGGGGATTGAACATGGATAAATGTTTTTGTTTGTCATTTTTAGACCACTTCACCCACAATAAGACCCCAGACATCGTTCTCCATTTAATATTCTTTGTATCATCCCTTATGATAGGAACGTAGGGCAGCCAGACTGAATATTCCCAGTGTATACTGAGGCAATGGTAAGATTAGATTAATATAAACAGTGTACAATATGCATTAACATTCTCTCATTCTCAAGAATGCCACACAAGCATGGGTCCTGCCTAAAATAAGTATGATCTCTGGCTGTACTTGTCAATTATATATATTCTCCATTCCTACATCCCAGTCAATGTTTTTTCTACTTCCAGAAATCTAAAATGATATTTGTGATTTTTGCAATCAGATATGAATTAGAAGTTATGAATTTTGCATAATGCATTAAAAATGGTTGGTGTCACAATCAGCGCTACAGTGTCCCTTTAAAACTACAGATCTGATTTATGTTTAATTTTTTTTCATACTGTTTTGGCTGAAATACTCAACTGTCATTTTATACCCTGTTTACTCATTGTTGCTTTTTAGCCAGAGTACTGAGCATTTGTAAATCAGTACTCTAACAAGAGCTTATTTCACTCTTTACACTACAAGAAATGAAGCTCGAGATCAGGTTCACAAGAGACAGAAACAGGATCTTTAGATTGTATAATTAGACCACCAGTCTTCTGCTCCACATCTAAAGTTTTATTCCAGTTCTGAGGATACCATACCTGAAGAATGTGTTGGGGACACTGATTAGACACGTGTTGACTCTGGTGCAGCACACTGGAGGAATCGCCCACCTGACTGACTACTCATTTCCCTTTCTAATGGCGTCACTTGACGGGTGTGAGGAGTGCAGTCTCCACCAGGTGACACCATCAAAAAGGAGCCAACCCATAGAGATGGTGCTGTGTCTCTTTATGGCCCTCACTGGCCCAGCACACCCACTGCACCGGCTGTTGTTCTGCACCGAGGAAGAGTTGTTAAGATGCTTAGAGGTGATGGCACTACTCTTTCACTTCTTTCTTCAGATATACATACAGTGAGGGGAAAAAAGTATTTGATCCCCTGCTGATATTGAACGTTTGCCCGCTGACAAAGAAATGATCAGTCAATAATTTTAATGGTACGTGTATTTTACCATTGAGAGACAGAATAACGCATGTCAAAAAAGTTATACATTGATTTGCATGCCAATGAGTGAAATAAGTATTTGATCCCCTATCAATCAGCAAGATATCTGGCTCCAAGGTGTCTTTTATGCAGGTCTCTTTGAGGGAGTGCTCCTAGTCTCAGCTTCTTTCCTGTATAGAAGACACCTGTCCACAGAAGCAATCAATCAGATTCCAAACTCTCCACCATGGCCAAGACCAAAGAGCTGTCCAAAGATGTCAGGGACAAGACTGTAGACCTACACAAGGCTGGAATGGGCTACAAGACCATCGCCAAGCAACTTGGTGAAAAGGTGACAACAGTTGGTGCGATTATTCACAAATGGAAGAAACACAAAATAACTGTCAGTCTCCCTTGGTCTGGTGGTCCATGCAAGATCTCACCTTGTGCAGTTTCAATGATTATGAGAAGGGTGAGGAATTAGCCCAGAAGTACACAGGAGGATCTTGTTAATGATCTCAGAGCAGCTGGGACCATAGTCACCAAGAAAACAATTAGTGACACACCAAGCCGTGAAGGACTGAAATCCTGCAGCGCCCGCAAGATCCCCATGCCCAAGAAAGCACATGTACAGGCCCGTCTATAGTTTGCCAATGAACATCTAAATGATACAGAGGAGAACTGGGTGAAAGTGTTGTGGTCAGATGAAACCAAAATCGATCTCTTTGGCATCAACTCAATTTGCCGTGTTTGGAGGAGGAGGAGGAATGCTGCCTATAACCCCAAGAACACCATCCTCACCAATAAACATGGAGGTGGAAACATTATGCTATGGGGTGTTTTTTCTGCTAAAGGGACAGGACAACTGCACCACATCAAAGGGATGATGAACAGGGCCATGTACTGTCAAATCTTAGGTAAGAACCTCCTTCTCTCAGCCAGGGCATTGAAAATGGGTCGTGGATAGGTATTCCAGCATAACAATGACCCAAAACACACCACCAAGGCAACAAAGGAGTGGCTCAAGAAGAAGCACATTAAGGTCCTGGAGTGGCCTAGCCAGTTTCCAGACCTTAATCCCATAGAAAATCTGTGGAGGGAGCTGAAGGTTCGAGTTGCCAAAAGTCAGCCTCGAAACCTTAATGACTTGGAGAGGATCTGTAAAGAGGAGTGGGACAAAATCCCTCCTGAGATGTGTGCAAACCTGGTGGCCAGCTACAAGAGACATCTGACCTTTGTGATTGCCAACAAGGGTTTTGCCACCAAGTACCAAGTCGAAGGGGTCAAATACTTTTTTCACTCATGCAAATCAATTTATAACTTTTTTGACATGCGTTTTCCTGGATTTCTTTTTTGTTGTTCTGTCTCTCACTGTTAAAATACAGCTACCATTACAATTATAGACTGATCATTTCTTTGTCAGTGGACAAACGTTCAAAATCAGCAGTGGATCAAATACTTTTTTCCCTCTCTGTACCATTGATGATGGATTTGTTTTTATTATTATTATACATTGAGATATGAATGTGTATTGCGTAACTAACACTATTAAGTCAAAACAGATGTTTGTGTTGAAAACTTGGTTGCTGCTGCTGGATTTACTACTACGGTAATGTTATTTTGTTTAACTGTAAAATGAAACAATACACCGCACACTTGCACATCACACGTTTAAAAAAGAAAGCTTTTGGGGAAAAGACCTAGGCTCTCCAGACGACCCCACCGACTGGGCTGACATCTGGAAGGCCACCAAATCGATATCAATGTGTGTTACCCATCAGGAACAAGCGTACAAGATGCTTTTCAGGTGGTACCTTTCCCCCCTTCGACTTGCAGCAATTAAACGCATCCCCACCAACCTCTGCTGGAAAATGTGCGGTGAAACGGGGCCATTCAGCCACTGCTGGTGGACATGTCCCAAGCTCATACCCCTCTGGAAGAGCATCTCAGATCTCTTAACAAGACTGCTCGCCAGACCAGTCCCCCTGGGCCCTGCTACTTTTGAAACCCATTGTCCCCTTCACCTGCAACAAAAACAAAAACTCATTGCCCAAATCACCCTAGCTACCTGCAGAGCAATAGCAGAAGCTTGGTTCATCCCCAATATACCCACCCATGCCCAAATCCATCACAAAATAACTGACAGCATAGATATGGTTAAACTAACAGCCCAGACACACGACACACCGAACTCATTCCATAAAATCTGGGATCCATGGTTGGAGGGAAACACCGCCATCCCATGGTAAGATCACAATACCCGCATGCGCCAGCACCACGAATAACACCAGGAAGACGAATGCCAACCACCCACCCTCCTCCTCCTCTACCCCTCACCTCCCCACCGGAGCCCGGGGGGGGGAGCCAGAACGGGCGGCACTACCCCCCCTTTTCTCCTCAGCTTTCTCTCCCCCCACTCACCCAACCCTCCCCTCTGCCGCTATTCATCTTCCTCCTCTTCGGATACCCCCCCCACCGAAACACTACTACTAGAACCCACTCGCCAACATACCCCTGCACATCTGTACCCTTTGACGCAGGTGAACCCTCGTCGGGGTACCTCCCTAAAGCCAGCCAACACAATTGCATCTAAGGCACACTTATTTTACACATGATACCT